AAAACTTTTGAGAAGAAATAATCATAAAAAACTAGTAACAAAATTAATAAAAAAAAGTTAAATAGATAAAGAATCTAATAATAGAGTAATATTCCGGTCAGAACCTCCTGACCGGAACCGCTGTCAGGCTGCCGCGGTTTGAGTCGATTCCCGATGGAGCTTTTTAATGAAATTCTTTGAGTATGCTCGACATGAATTTAGATTTTAGATTACATACACAAAATTTCAGCTTAAAATTCAATCAATAAGTCAGTTAAAAAATTATTGAAAAACACTACGCCAAAATATGCATTTAAAATGCAGTGTTTTTCAATTTTTTATTTAACCGACCTCCCAAAATGATTTTGAACTGAAATTTTGTAGACATAATTTAAATTTCATGAAAAACATGGTCAAAAGATTCTATCAATAATCTTCACCGAGAACCGCTTTGAATCGTGGAGGCCGAACGGTGGAATTAAGGAGATGAACTTTTCTTGAGTATTATATTATAATAAAATGGGATGCAAACTCAAATTACCCCTTTATGATTAGAAAAAATACAAACATAATTTTTGTCACTTGAAAACACTATTTCTAACTTTATAAGACAAAAATTGAAAATCCCTTTTTTTTTTCAAACATACGCTTGTTTTTTTTTTGAAAGATTTTTTGTTTTGAAAAAAAATATATACTCCCTCCGGTTCTAAATAAACTTCACACTTTCCTTTTTGGGACGGTCCAAAATAAACTTCACACTTCCTTATTTCCTTATTTGGCAAAGAAATCTACATCAAAACAGTGCTAAACAGTGTCAAACAGTGTCTCAACAGTGCCAAACAGTGTCTCAACAGTGCCAAACAGTGTCTCAACAGTGTACTCTACAGTAAAGTCAATTTTATTTCCTTAATAACTGTGAAGTCAAACCCTGAAGTTTAAAAAGAACCGGAGGGAGTATATTTTTGAAAGATATCAAAATTTTTTTAAAGAGTGCTTTTTGCAATTTTGCCCTGATTTTTTCTTCCCACCACGCAGAAATTACTCGCTTGTCAACTATGTAGCACCGATACTGGTACGCGGAAACGCGGAAACGCGAAAACGGGTACAGGGATACGTCAAAACAAAGTAGGATAGGGATACGGGGCCATATTTATTAATATTAAAAGTTATGGGGGTGTATTTACAAATATTAAAAGTTATAGGGGTCTATTTATAAATATTAAAAATAGATTTTTTTTGAATATATATATATATATGTATATATAGAGAGAGAGAGAGAGTAGCGTTCCTGTCAGGGCCTCCAAAAACGGACCTCCGTACGGACCTCGGCATTTGAGCCCCTTCCCGGTGGAATTTCTTGATGAAATTTTTTGAGCATGTTCTTCATTAAGTCTAGTTTACCCATACCAAAATTTCAGCTAAAAATTTCATCGGGAAGGCAGTCAAACGATTTTTGGAAGTTAACTGCGCACTTTATATACGTATAAAATGTAGTTAACTCCCAAAAATAATTTGACTATCTTGCCAATGGAATTTTTTTGCTGAAATTTGGTATGGTTAAACTAGACTTGATGAAGAACATGCTCAAACAATTTCATCAAAAAATTCCACCGGGAAGGGGCCCAAACGCCGAGGTCCGTACGGAGGTCCGTTTTTGGAGGTCTTGACATGAACTTTCCTCTATATATATATATACACACACACACATCTAATATCCTATGATGTCTACCCATTCATTGCATTGAAGTATTTTCCTTTTTCAAGATATTTAGTAATAAATTCAGAATATTTCTCATATACACTAGTGTATCTCGAAATATAAATGTACTCAATAAGTCATTAATTTAAAATGAGAAATAAGTCTAACAACTACAATCTTGAAATTAAAAGTGCAAGTACCCAATTCGGAGTATGAGTTAATGACTTAATTCGAATATAGCCATATAGGCCCATTATTTGATTACGAAGTAAAATGTAGTTTTAGATTTTCATTTTTTTTAGAATTTTATTAAGTAAATTTTGGGATTTTTTTTTAAGTTGGTACGGGTATCCGTCAGGATACGAGTATCGGAAACTTTAAAAAAATTACAAAAAAAATGGAAAATTTTAAAAATTGCAGATACGTGTATCCTTGTCGTATAAGATAGGCCAATACGCAACCGTAAGTATCCGTGCTTCATATACATATAGCTCGCTTCAAAATACTTGGCTAAAGTTCCAATCCCCAATTCTCCCTCACGCATCACACGGTGGTGGCGCAGCCGTGTATCCAAACATCCCGGCTTTCTGCGCACACTCCCATTGCCGCGCCTTCTTAGAGTTGAAGACATCGCTTTGGTTGATGTGATTAATTGGGGTTTAAGAGACTATATGCTTCGATCGAGTTAAGTAAGGATACATTAAGGGTTAATCTCGATATGGGTGAAGAAATTGAAAAGGCGGTGATAGCATATCTGGAAAAGAAGGGTTTATCTGTATCCAGCACCAACTCCTCAGATAGTTCCCAAACTGACCCTCTTGCCAAACAGATTCTCTCTCTCCATCAATTTGAAAATGTTCCTGCACAGTACCATGATCAGTACAGCAAGCTTCGGTCTTGGGCAGATAGCTCTCTGGATTTGTACAAGCATGAGTTGCTTCGTGTTCTTTATCCTGTATTCATACACTGTTTCATGGATCTTGTGGCTAAAGGTCACATTCAAGAAGCCCGGGCATTTTTTAATAGCTTTCGAGAAGACCACGAGATGATTCACCTGCGTGATCTCCAGAAACTAGAAGCTGTCCTGTCACCATCACATTTACAGGAAATGGAGTTTGCTCATTCTTTAAGGCAAAGCAAAGTGAACATAAAAATGTGTCAGTATTCCTATGAACTTTTGCTGCGATACTTGCACAGGGCTCATGCCACTGTGATGCTAGGGATGATAAATGAGCATATAAACTTTGAAGTTTCCACTGGACAGCCTGGTTCGGTTTCCGATGATGCTGATGTTGTAACTCTTATTGGGAGCGGCTGGGAAACTGCAAGTTTGGTAAACCAGAAAGAAATCCACTGGGGGCTGCTTGAGGATTCTATAGAGGAGCGGTTGGAGAAGGCAGGAGGTTTGCTTTCTGAGTCAGAAAAGGTTGAAGATAACAAGATTCAATCAGTTGAAGGAGGGAGGCAGGATGCTTCACTGAAAAAGCTGAAAAAAGATAAGATAGGAGGTCCAATTGGGAAAGTTGCACACATAGAGGGTGCTGCTGCTTCGGCAACACCGCTTGTTAAGCCAGATTTACCTTTGCCAGCAATACATATGGAGGTAGAACACTCTATTCTTGAAGACTTGAGAAATCGTGTACAGCTAAGTAGCCTGGCATTGCCCTCTGTGAACATGTATACCTTTCTTAATACTCAAAATGGATTAAACTGTGCATCAATATCTAATGATGGATCACTGGTGGCTGGTGGCTTTTCGGATTCTTCACTGAAGTTGTGGGACATGGCAAAACTGGCACAACAATCTGAGAATTTTCCCATGCAGGGTATCGGTTCCCCGTCCAATGAGCAGGACCTTGGGGAAAATGGGCAGCGAGGATGCTATACATTAATCCATGGTCATTGTGGACCAGTTTATTCTGCCACCTTCAGTCCTTATGATGATTTTCTCTTATCGTCATCATCTGATTCAACCATTCGGCTGTGGAGCACAAAACTAAATGCAAATCTTGTTTGTTATAAAGGCCATAATTATCCTGTATGGGATGTTCAGTTTAGCCCTGTTGGGCATTACTTTGCTAGTGCTTCACATGATCGAACTGCAAGGATCTGGTCAATGGACAGAATACAGCCTCTGAGGATAATGGCTGGCCACTTGTCTGATGTTGATTGTGTTCAATGGCATGCAAATTGCAACTACATAGCTACTGGATCAAGTGACAAAACTGTTCGTTTGTGGGATGTCCAGAGTGGAGACTGTGTCAGAATTTTCATTGGTCACAGGAGTATGATATTGTCAATGGCAATGTCACCTGATGGTCGTTATATGGCATCAGGCGATGAAGATGGGAAAATCATGGTGTGGGATCTTGCTAGTGGCCGCTGTATAACACCTTTGGTTGGTCACACCTCTTGTGTGTGGACACTTGCTTTCAGCTGTGAAGGATCTCTTCTTGCATCTGGTTCTGCTGATTGCACTGTGAAATTGTGGGATGTAAGCACGAGTACCAAGTTACCAAAATCTGAAGAGAATAAATCTGGGAATACCAATAGGCTGCGATCATTGAAGACACTGCCTACCAAATCAACTCCATTATATGCTCTGCGTTTCTCCCAAAGAAACCTTCTGTTTGCTGCTGGTGCTTTTTACCCAAAAGCACATAAAACAACTTATTAACAATGGAAATTTTGCAGAGGCAGTGTGGCTTCTATTGTTTTGCCAGGGAACAAAGAAATTCAGGAAGCCAGGACATTGGAAGACTTTGAGCATGTATTTGTTTTTTATGTTTTTTCAGAAGGAAAATGTTTTCCTCTTTTCCCCGAGCCTTTCAAAATAGGAAAAACACTCTTGAAGCTGTGGTTTTTTATATAATTTTGTGTTAAATACTATTTATTTCAACACGCAGTCTCCTGTTTTGTTTTGTTTTATACCCAATCAGAGCTTTGTGAAAAACAAGACTTTTGCCCCATTTTATGGTGAACTAAAACCAGAACTCAGCCCAAAATCAGACCAGTCCAAGCCTCTAAGGTGGCTAATGCTATGAGAGGGTATTACAGTTGAGGGCTTGAGGCTATATTTGACCATTTATCTCAAAACTTGTGAAGAATTTGTTCATAACTAAAATAGTTGTGTTTTTTTCAAATGAATAATGATTAAAAAACTACTGACATATTTTCTACTAAAATTTATGACCATTGAACCCTGCAAAATTTTATGTACATTGTTCAAACACAGCTTCATAAAGCTTACAATAACATTCAAGCCTTAGTCTCACAACCTATTTGTCCTCTAGAGTTGGACACAAAATGGTTTTGAGCAAAACCATTACAAAAGTAACAAAATTATTCACTACTCACTGCAAGCACAATACACTGGTGGCTTAGCCCAATCAATCGATGCCAGTTTGGACTAGTAATACATTAATTAACTCATGTGAAATAATGTTTTCTTGTACAGAGCGGTTTGCAGAAATAGCGGGTGATGCAATATTCCATTTAAACAGGGAAACTTTGTTTCAAGGCTTTAATATATTCTTGAACTCCCGCTCAAGAATGCTTTCTTCAATCTCTTTGGTTGGCTTGTCCAGTTCACTTTTTTTTCCTTGTAGCCCTACTAAACATGTCCTTGATATTATGGGAGTTTGTCTCCAGTTTGGCCTTCTTATTGGCTTGTCGTCTTGTTTCAGTGGGTTTACCATCATTTCCATTCCTTCCCTGATGAGAGAGAGAGAGAAAGAGAGAGCAATGAACATGTATTCAACTCTCTTCAAAGTAGTACAAAGTATTTGTCATGCACGTTGTTTTAATAAAAACCATAGAAATAGAAGATAGACTATAGACAAGTACATCCTTTTCCACATTATAGTACTTCAAATTTTTTGATTAATTTTTCACCTGGTCAAAAAGATTTCCTATGGATGATGAAATGCTCTCAGCACCCAATGCTTTTGTTTCCTTGTTCAGGTCTATCCTGCAAATGCAATCAGATGACTGTAGACTGAACTTATTTCATGCCAATCCAACCAAAATAATGGTGGAAAATTTAGTAGGAAAGTAATTTTTCTTTTCATTGGGTCGGTTTTTCCATCCCAACAAGTTGAGTCAGTTAAGTGGAATATATAGTGTCATTTAATTGAAATGTAATACACAGTATACCTTAATTTACAGCAAAGGAGCTTTAACCAAGGTTCTTCCTTCAAGTATTCTCCAACAATTGAAACTGTATCAATCACTGAGCCCAAGAAATGACATGTTGAGAAGAAAAATCGTCAAGGATTATGGCGGGTGAGTAGAAAAAACTGTACCAATCACTAATCAACAACCAATATGTTACTGTATAAATATGTACAATACGATAGTATATTTGGTAGCAAGAGCCAGGAGCTGCCATCAAGCTGAACCGTACTTTATAACTAGCCAAGAGGTTTGATATAAGAAAAAGACTAGGAGAAATTCCTCGGATACTTGCTATGAACTCCAATTGCAGTTGCTCTATCCACAATTCAACACGTCTAAATTACATTGAGGAATGCCACAACACACAAAAAAACATTAATAACTTCACCTATGTATCTTTTGCCAAACATTAATAACTTCACCTATGTATCTTTTGCCAAACATTAATAACTTCACCTATGTATCTTTTGCCAAACATTAAATCCCATATAACGTCCATGATCAATAGCAAGAAAAGAATACTACCAGATTTGTCTCTAATTATATGAAAAAGGTGAAGTTGTTAACACTTACAGAGTATTAATCATCTTTTACACTTTTTTGTTGCCTCTAGATTTTTCAAGGTGAGGATTTTTCATTTCTTTTTATTTTTATTTTTATTATGTTTCTTTAGAACTCCTCGGTTAAAAAGGGATTCTATTATCCTTATCTGTAATCTTCTGTTCTCTGCTTCTTCTTCACCCAACTCTTTATGCAGTATATAAATCATGGAACTATATATCTATCACAGAACCCCTCTTGCACATGCAGAGAAAGGTGTTATAGAAGCATTAGGCTTGTGTATCAAGACCTCTCCAAACTTGCACTGTCAAACTACGAGTATATGCCTAATGCAGAACATGATACACTATGGAACCATTGTTCCCTCCGTCCCTAATAACTTTCTCATCTTTCCTCTTTCGATTGTCCCAAAAACTTTGTCACTTTCTCTTTTGATCAATTAATTTGTGATTCCTACTAGTATAATTTATCTCTCTTCTACACAAACCGCAACCACACAATTTTTACTTTATTATTCCACGTGCCAGTCGAACTTGGCAAAATTACAAGGGCCAGATTGAGTAGTACAGAATCCTTTTAGGATGTGTTTGGTGGAAGGTTTAGGAGGGCTATATATATATATAGAGAGAGAGAGAGAGAGAAATCATCTCATCAGGCCGGCCTGACGGGCTGCCCCGTCCGGCCGAGCCCGTTTGGGCACCTTCCCGGTGGAATTTTTTGATGAAATTTTTTGAGCATGTTCCTCATCAAGTCTAGTTTGTCCATACCAAATTTCAGCTCAAAATTCGATCGGGAAGGTCGTCAAATGATTTTTTCAAGTTAACTGGTCCGGAATATGTATTTTCCGGACCAGTTAACTTGCAAAAATCATTTGACGACCTTCCCGATCGAATTTTGAGCTGAAATTTGGTATGGACAAACTAGACTTGATGAGGAACATGCTCAAAAAATTTCATCAAAAAATTCCACCGGGAAGGTGCCCAAACGGGCTCGGCCGGACGGGGCAGCCCGTCAGGCCGGCCTGATGAGAAGAGCTCTATATATATACGAGTATATAAATCTTGTTTTGATATATAGAAGATTAACACTTCTAGCAAAACTAAAGAACTAACATGATAGGTGAACATATAACATCTTAATAACCACTTTTTCATTTTTAAAAATATTTTATTCATCAGAATGAAGTAAACCCTTTACAGTCTTATCCTCCCAAACCTGAAACCTTGCATTCAAACTGACCCTTAAGGAAAATTGAACCCATTGATATGTGATAGCGACAAAATAGGAGCAATAAAATCTACCATATGAGCCATACATGTATCTTTCTTATCCCTAGCAGCAAAGTTCTTATCCAAAGTCACCAAGGTCTTCCTTAGTTCTTCTACCTACAAATTGGTCAGAGTTAGAGCAGAGATATGAACTTGTGTTTATGCAAAAAGAACCTGTCAATGGTTCCCTACTACTGTTTTAAACAGACTTGGGTATCGAACTCTTGACATAAAAGTAAAAAGATATTGATACCAGTATACACTTCAGAAGAGGGTCTAGCTTACCTTAAAACACATCCATTTTAAAACCTTTTCGTTGTTAAGCCTATAAAACTTCATTGATCCCATTTCTGCTTGAAATAAGAAAAAAGAGAAGTTTAATTAGTACTAAGGAACATATTTCCGACTACAGCATGTATGGAATTGGATAGACCCTTGCAAAAGAATCATCCGAAGTCGGATGTCCCTAGATAATCTTCAGTTCTTCACACAATCCTTTTCCCTTGATCCATTCTTCTAAAATTATTGCCCATTTCCTTTATGAAAAGCAATATGTGGCTCATATTTTTTTCTATTTTCTAAATAAGTATCGTATCAGCCACACAATTCTGTGTTTCATAAACATTGTGTAAGGTCAAACTGGTGTCAATTTAAAGATGAAGGGAGTACCCTCTTCAGATTACCTTTAAAATCACAAACTACTTGCATCGATTTCTCAGCAATGGATGAAAGATACTGATACTCCGGATAATCACTGACATAAATAATTTCATCCAACTGCCTAAACATTCCCGGATCATCTTTATTTGCCTGCTGTAAGGACACACAAAATTAAATAAGCATATGCTTGCAGAAAACATGTGGAAAATAAAGAAATCAATATTGATTTTCTTAAGTAAATTTAAATAATCAATTGAAAGAACTATGGGAGTAGTTTACTAAGCCAGGTGTAGTTGTGATCAAAAGTTCAAAAGGGCAACATAAACTGATTCATACCTTCGTCATCCGTGCTTCTTCAAAAAGGGGCAACAAAACAAAGACAGGATCTATAGGAGTAGCAGTATACAGGCTCCCATCTAAATTTGAATGCGAATTGCATTTGCGTATGTTAACAAAATGTCTTGGAAATCAAGTTATTTCATACAAAATGAAATGGTTCCTTACCTTCACACACATAATCACCAAGGAACCAAGAGCCAAAAGATTGCTTGAACCAATGAACTTCTTGAAGAGTTCTGTTAACAAAGAGGTAGCATGTTGCATCTCCTGTTTGCAGAAGTTAGCATTTCAAAAGCCATGCATGGACTGAAATTAAAGTATAAAAGCTATGATGGCCTCTTACCCTCTTCATCTAGACTACTGAATATAAGATGTTATGGCTGATAGCTATCACAAAGATATGCTGTACTTACTAAGGGTTTAAGACAAATAATTATAGTTCACAATCTAATGGAAACTATAGGGGACAATCAATGGCATAAAAGATACTCCGTACAAAACAAAATTTTCTCCGAGGAAAGAGGTCACACAAAAGAAGTATGAGCCAAACCAGATTTAGGATGCCGAAGAGATAAAAGTTTCCCTGGATCATCCCCGACCTTAGAAGGACCTGCAAATTTTATGGTGGGTGTATGACTGTCAAAGCTGACGCTTAAACAAAACAAGATGCCAATAAAGCTACCTGGCGCAATAAGAATACGGGTTTCATCAACACCTTCCCACCAATCCATGTGACCTAATTCACAGAAACACGAAAACAGAAAGAACGGAGGTGATGACTGAACAAATACTAGAAATGCAAACACGTCTTTTAGGGCAGCGAACAAATTGAACAAATTCACAAGGACCGTTACGAAAGAATCTGGATTCAAATACGCCGATAGTAAAAATGTATTTGAGCTATAAAATGAATTCGGAAATGGAACCTTCCGTTTTCAGGTGTTTACCGTTCAGGCGGCTCATCCTCCGACCTGTACTCTCTTTAAGCAAAAATGGCGGGAGTGATACCCGGCTTAGGTTAAATACTCTAAGGGAGGTGTTTACTGCTAAAGTCACAGTTAGGTCAGTAAGACAGGTGAAGTAAACACGCACACTGCTTAAAAAGCCGCTTACTAACCGAAAGAGGTGCTTAAAGTGCCGCTTATTAAGCATAACACCCCCCATGTATTAATTAAGCGGCACTTTAAGCTTTTTCAGTTTCCGAATTTACCCCTTGCCCGTAACCTATTGTTATCCCTGCCCCACCTCGACCCCAACCCCACCTACCCCGACCCCACCCTACCCCGACCCCACCCTACCCTTACCCCACCTACCCTGACCCCACTCTACCTCGACCCCACCCTACCCTTACCCCACCCTACCCCACCCCGACCCACCCTACCTACCCTACCTAACCGACCCCCACCCTACCCTTACCCCACCTACCCCGACCCCACCCCACCCCTACCCTTACCCCACCTACCCTACCCCACCCTACCTACCCCACCCCTACCCTACCTAACCTTCCCCCACCCTACCTCGACCCCACCCTACCCCACCTACCTACCCCACCCTACCTACCCCACCCCTACCCTACCTAACCTCTACGGGCCTATGGGGGTAGGGGCCTATGGGGTCGGGGGTAGGGTAGGGTGGGGACAGGTTAGGGTGGGGTCGGGTAGATAGGGTGGGGTCAGGTAGGTAGGGTAGGGGTAGGGGGTAGGGGTAGGCGGTGGGTGGGGTCGGGGTAAGGTAGGGTGGGTAAGGGGTTAGGGGTATGGGTACACATATTATATTATATACTTGTGTTCATGATTTGTGTGTATATATATGTATAGGGTTATTTTGGACATTTTAATGTTAAGCGGTGTTTTAAACCGTTTGAAGTAAACACGGTCTTACAACATTGTTTATTTTATGCGCCGCTTATTAATACGGGTCTTAATAAGCACCGTTTAATAACCGGTGAAGTAAACATGTCCTAAACATTGCAACCAACCCCTTCTCTTTGCCCAAATTCCCTCATTTTGGGTTCATTCCGTTCGTTTTAAAATGAGCAAAATTGAAAATCCATGGATACTTTTGTGTGCACATAATGTGCACAGAGAGTTCAAATAAAAAGATGTGTTTCCATTCAAAGCATGAACGATTGCATTCTTTTTTTATGGTGTTGTTTTACTTTTTTGTTTCACTTTTGTGTAGTGACGAGACATTTCCATTTATTTAAGTAATTATCACCGCGTTTTTATCGAGTGCATTTTTTGTTGGTTTTGAACTATTAGATGTGAAAATAAATATACAAGATTTATTCTCTCTTTGCATATAAAGACATTTTTGTATTTGAACTTTTCCCTAATGTACACCTCTAATTATCTATTTACACAAGTCATTCGTTGAGAAAGTTGCCTTGTAGATAGATAACTAATAGAAATGTACATCATATATTTACAAAATATATGTACACCAAACATTACTCTTAAAATTAATGATAAATTGATTGCCAAATGAAAATTTGCATTAGAGTACTGTTTGATTTTGAGTGTTTTCATCTTTTTATTGAATATATTATCGGCAGTTAATGATATTTGATGTTCACAATTCGATGAAATTCAATTTTGGTTTAGATTGACAAAATTGTCATTACCGTTTATAAAAATATAAATGAATTAAAAGTTGCTCTAAATATGATTAGAGAAATTGTGTATTTCCATTTTGATTTTTTTAAAATAAAAGATGTATTTTTCAAATTTAATTGAACATATTCCTATCTCACACCTAACTAAATTAGATTTGAACAAGTCAAGTTAGATCACAACTCATAAAACATAAAATCTACATAGAATAAATATTAAATTACAATCTAATTCAAAAATACATACGAGGAGTACTTAGCACCCAAGAGGCTAAGAGTCCATTTAATATTCATGTTGTTTTTTTGTTAATCAGGCTTATCAATCAACTTTTTTGTTAATGTTTCATTTAGGTCGCTGAATTGTGTAATACTATATAAATTACTCTTCTAGATATATTGATTGAAATTAGTATAGAAAATTATTTTAACTATTTTTTTACTCTCTTCGTTCTTTATTATCTGTCTCGCATTCCTTTTTGGGACATTGTTTTTATTTGTCCTCATTTCCATTTAAGGAAAGTTTTTGTTAAAACACTCTCACTATTATTACTTTTACCTCACTTACTTTTTACAAACTACTTTTTATTTCCTACTTTATCATCACTTTACTCTACATAATACACTCTTTTTCTTACTTTATCATTTACCCTAGACATTTTATACTTACCATACTAATTTAATATTAAAACTCGTAGTCAAGGCTAGTGAGACAAATAATAAAGAAGGGAGGGAGTATATAATTTTATCTCTTTTCTAATAAATTACTCCACATTTTAAAATATACGGAGTAATTTTTTCATAAATCTACCTAATCAGCCGATTCACATATTTTGGCTATGTTTGGCGGGCATAAGTCCCTGACTTCTAGCTTTTGTATTGTTCAAAAAGTTCCCAAAAGCTTCAAGTTGTGTGTTTGGCATGACAATATTTAAGAGCTTTTCAAAAATTAAAAGATCTTTTTTGAGATGCTACCGGGAGTAGCATCTAAGAAAAGCTAGTGACTTTTAGTATTAATTAATCCTAACAGCTTGTATACCAAACCGAACTAAATCAAACAGTCAGCTTTTTATCAAACAGCTACCACCTTTTCTTTTTAAGATTCTTTCAGTCACTAAAAGCTAACAGCTATTAAAAAGCTCACAAAAGTATCTTTTCAGCTAGTTGTGCCAAACATGCCCTTTGTAGCATCACCAACTAAAGTTAGTAAACCTCTAATTGTTTAGTGACTTTAGTCCCTAATGGATACGGACTACTTTATTTTATTTTACGCATCGTCTTCTTCAAGATAAAGCTTGTCGGGTCAACCCTGAAACCAGACTATTCCAGCACTCAACCTGCGCTTTCTGGACTCGATCATCTTCTTCAGTCAATCTCCGTCGTCGTCTTCCATGTCTGCTCCTCTCCCCTATTTCCACGCCCTCACCTTCTGCGGGGTCCTATCCGAATCCAAGCGCATCGTCAATGCTCACTCCCGCCATTTTCTAGCCCTCTCCGTCTTCTTCCTCCTGCCCCTCTCTTTCTCCCTCATCGTCTACCCCACTCTCCACGACGCCCTCTATCATCCGGGCTCCATCTCCTTCTACACCAGCAAATTCCTCGTGTCCGACCCGACCCGGAAACACACCGATGGAGAAGCTCGGTTCTTTATCCTACCTCTGGTCTACGTCCTCTTTGTTTTCCTTACCCACCTGTTCGCAGTGTCCACGGTCTCCTACAGCACATTCCACGGCTTTTATGGTAGACCAGTGAAGCTAATTTCTTCTTTCAAGTCACTTTTGTACTCTTTCTTACCCATGATTTCGACCATCATAGTTTCAAAACTCATCCTTTGTTCGATTGTTTTGCTCTTTGGTCTTTTTGGGTTCTCTGTATTGAAAGGCCTTGAATTGCTAGGAGTTGGAGTTGATTATGACTCCAATTACTTCTACGCGGTGGCGATTCTCTACGCTGTAGTGGTTGGATATGTCTTGTTATCTCTTCATGTTAATTGGATACTTGCTCCAGTGGCTGCAGTGGTTGAATCCAGATGGGGGTACGGGCCATTAAGGAGAAGTTCAGATTTGGTGAAGGGAATGAGAGGGATAGCATTTTCAATATTGCTATTTTTCAACCTCCTTATCGTATTGCTGGTGGCCAGCTGCTCTACTTTCTTGCTCCAGGTGGGGGTAGCCGGTGGACGGTGGAGTTGGGCAGTTATTTTGCAGATGGTGATCAGTTCTGGCCTTGCTACTGTCCTTATGTTGCAGAGCATTGCTGCAATTGTGGTTCTGTTTATGTACTGCAAAGCATTGCATGGGGAGCTTCCCTTTGAGATTGCAGAGGAGTTTGCTGGTGACTATGTGAGTTTGCCTTTTGATGAGGAGAAGCTTCCCTATGTTGTTTATGTTGCATGAGGTGAGCATGCATTTCTTCCCATAATGTCAGCTTGTTTTATATGATGTGGGAATGTTTTTTCTATGTAATATGTTATGTCATTTGAAAAGGTACTCTAAAACATGTTGAGAACACGCAAGTAATACTATCTCCAGATAGAGTTGTGTATTAATAGAAAAGTTAAGGGTTGTGATAACTAATAAGGCTATATTGGAGTACACGTCTTCTGTACATCGTATGGGATTATTTTGTTGCTGTTTCTATTATAGAAAGCATGCTTTTGGTTGATCTATGATCTCCATCTTCCCCAATGATAGCTGATTACCCCAATCAATTTGTAATTTGTGTAGTAAGTAAATTGACACAAGTACTTTCTGCTTGTTTTTAAGTGATGTAACCCCTATATTCCAGTCTTTCTTAACTCGAAAAGACACTCCAGAGTCCAGAACTACTGTGTTCACAATTAGAAGATTTGTAGTCCTTTAGATTTCTCAACCTTCACTACTATGCATTCCCCATCCCTTGAAGTCTATCAATTTAATACTTTCATTCTCCGCCCACCACAATATCTTGTGCCCTGCAAGTACATGAGCGTTTAGTTTTGGTTTTTCACATTTGTTATAGTTGAATCAAGAAGCTCAGAAATGTATGATGAAGATACATATGTTCAGCTCTTCTATAGCTAGTGAACCTTCATAGGCAAAATTATCCTATGCAGCAGCAACAACAACAACATCCAAGCCTTAGTCCCAAAAGATATTGTACACCATTAATTTGTACAATATCTGTTAAGACCCGGAGTTCCATCCTAAAAGTTCAACCTGATAGGAGGAGTAATCCATGTGTGAATATAGTACTTTGTTTATCCAAACTTTTCCGGTGTGGGACATTTAACAATATTCTTTGCAGTCGCTGAGTAAATTTGTACACCATTAATTGGCCTTCCAGATCTTGGCTCTGTGTCATCCTCTCTCTCTCTTTTTTGTAGAGGCTTCTTGGTGGATCGACCTTTGTGTTTACCTTGAGTTGTGGCAGTCTGATATTCTGGTTCTTGACTCTAATTTTGTTGCTCACAAATATCAGTGCTGCATCTAGTTTATAAAGATAGATTTTTTTTTGTTGTTGTTGTGGCTCTCCGCCAGCTTGCATCCCATCTCTAATTCGCCAATCTGGTGTATAATCATACCTTCTATGCACTAAATGAATCCACAGCTAGTATCGATTAGGCTGTGAGTTGGTGTGTCAAATCTTTTTAAATTCTTCCGGAATAAGTCCCATTATATGGTTTTAGGGCCAACTCTTTTGCAATGTTCTTATACGGACGATATGTCTGCTTGATGTATAAGTAAATCGGGATAATTTCCTTAGTCCCGGAAGATTTCTTAGGCTAAAGTACTATTTCCTTCCTATTTCTTTTGTTTTTTTCTTGATATTATGTGATTAAAGTTCCTTCATAAAGCTCATTCTTTCAATGTTTAAGATGAAGTTCTCTTGGAATTTCTAAATGTATCTTCATTTATTATGTGACATGTAAATTCGGATGCTGTGTTGCTTAGGGAGTCTGCTGATATTCCATGTCAGCTAACCTCTTCTAGTTTTGCTCTTTCGTTTATTTTGTATCTTTTGATCAATATCGATGCTCGAATTTGCTTCTTCTTTATGTCGTACTATTATTGTGGGAGCCATCTTTGTATGTATAAACCGATCTCATTTGACAGCATGTGAAATAATTACTTTAATGGCAAAATGTGTAGATGTGAAAGATTACATCGTCTGGTTTGACTAATTTACATAAATTGCAGGGTAGTTTTTTTCGATATTTGGCATTGTACCATATAAAAATATTTATGTGAGGGGAGTGGTAAAATATTTAGATCTTTTTTAAAGAGTTGCAACAACTTTGTTTGTAGTTTAAAAATATTTACACACTTACATTGTATCTTAATTATACATGTGACCAAACATTGCATCTTAATTATACTTGTAAAGTTCATTAATTAGGTCCCCGCAAAATATTTTTTTTTTTGTTTTTCATCCCTGCAATATGTTCTAGGAAAAATGGAATCTAATAATCCAACTTTTTAGCGGTCTTCTTACGATAGTCTCACCTTTTCGTTATTCATGAATAATCCAACCTTTGCACCTCATCTTCATTCACTGGTCCCTGACCAGTTGATGACCTGCTATTCCAAGTTACTTTCTTATCTTTGCAAACCATTATACCATAAATCTCACCTATCACAAAGATAATATTTTGCAAAGATAAGAAAATAACTTGGAATAGCCGGTCATTAACGGATCAGGGACCAACGAATGAAGATGAGGTGTAAAGGTTGGATTATTTTTTAATAAAGAATAAGTGAGACTATTGTAAAAAGACTGTTAAAGGTTGGATTATTAGTTGTCATTTTCCCTATGTTCTATTTTGTTTTTAGTTCATATCTAATTCTAAAACTACTCTATTTACAAAAAAAAAACTACTTTCGATTACATAAATGTACTAGAACTTTTTAAATTTGTGCTTTCATAATTTTTTTTGTTGCTAATATGCGAGTTAAAATAATATAAAATTAAGTATTCACATTTTAAAAATGTAAATAAAAAATCTTCTAAAAGATAAAATTATATACTTTTTGAATAACACCACAAAGAATTAGAGGAAATCTATTAATCGGGGTTATTTTGATGTAAAAGGGAGGTTGTTATCATAAATGATGGACTAAAAAGAAAACCAACTTAAATTGAAGGGACGAAAAACAAAATAATAATTTCGCAAAGATGTAAAACAAAATGTATTTGCAAAGACTAAAAACATATTTAAATAAAAAAAGTTATACATGTAAAGTGATGGTTTGGAAAGCTTTAATGTGCCAAACTACCAAGCAAATTCTTAGAGGGTATACGGCAAGACTCAAAATAAATATTCCCTCTGTCCCTCAATTAAATTTCTAATTTAACTTTTATAGGATGCAGTTTGATCCTAAATATATAAAAATACATACTTATAAAATTTTATAATAAATTAACATTTTGAGGATAGTTATTGTGTGATAAAAGTAGCGTGAAATTTGAATAATTAATGGTCAAAATTTATCTTGGTAGCACAACTTTTTCCGGTCACTATCACTCTGGGAATTTCAAAAAGGGAAAATACTGCCAAGGATCAAAGAAAAGACGATAAAAACTACTCGGCTCAAGGTGCTTAGGACTCGATAAGGTTGTTGTTTCACCCATTTCAATGCCTTAGTAATTAAAGGCCAGTCGAACCTCGGTTTCGACCTCAGTTGTTACAGCTAGCATTCGGATTAAAGAAGTTTTGACATCTTGAATCATATGAAGGAGAGATAGTGAACGACTACTTCATTGAACTGATGGCTTCGTCACACTTCATTGGAGATGCTCTAAGAGAGGCGACCCGCCCTAATTTGGTGGACAACTTCTTGACGACTAAACTCTCCAAAATCTCTCTTGTACAACAAACTACTACCTCCGTCCTCCTTGTATCAAAATCTCTCTTGTTTCACCCATTTCAATGCCTTAGTAATTAAAGGCCAGTCGAACCTCGGTTTCGACCTCAGTTGTTACAGCTAGCATTCGGATTAAAGAAGTTTTGACATCTTGAATCATATGAAGGAGAGATAGTGAACGACTACTTCGTTTGGTGGACAACTTCTTGAAGAAACTACGGGAATATGGAACGGAGTCATGTAGAAGAAACTGTCTACCGTAGGTTCCTTTTCTATTCTAATTCTTTTTGAATTAATTAAATGACAGCAAAGTAATATAGTGCCCATTAGCATTATACGTTGGAGGACTCCTTTTACTTTCTTTCCATTTGTATTTGATGTGGATAGAAAGTATCCTATTTATTTGACATTTGGAAAAATTTAGCAAATGTGAAAAGAAGAGCATTGGAGATGCTCTAAGAGAGGCGACCCGCCCTCATTTGGTGGACAACTTCTTGACGACTAAACTCTCCAAAATCTCTCTTGTACAACAAACTACTACCTCCGTCCTCCTTGTATCAAAATCTCTCTTGTTTCACCCATTTCAATGCCTTAGTAATTAAAGGCCAGTCGAACCTCGGTTTCGACCTTAGTTGTTACCGCTAGCATTCGGATTAAAGAAGTTTTGACATCTTGAATCATATGAAGGAGAGATAGTGAACGACTACTTCATTGAACTGATGGCTTCGTCACACTTCATGAAAGTGAGGGACGACTTATTGATGGCACTACAAAAAAACACGGACGTAGTCACGGATTTAGTCACGGACTGCAGTGTAAAATTTCCGTGACTAAAAAGATTAGTCACGGTCATCCGCCGTGACTAAATCCATGTCTTAATTGGCGTGACTAAATGAAGTCACCGCCACATAACCGTGACTAAATTTAGTCACGGATTAGTCACGGTCAAGGACCGTGACTATTTTCATCCCGGGAACCCCACTCCGACGTGTTAGTCACGGCTTGTGACCGTGACTATAATTTTTTTTTTTAAAAAAATAATATTAGTCACGGCAGTGGGCCGTGACTAATTTTTAAAATTTTCAAATTTTTCAAAAGACCGCCCGCGGGTGTTATCTAAATTTTTAATAAGTCACGGTTGTCGACCGTGACTAAGTTTTTTAAAAAAAAAAAATAATGTTTTTTATTAAAAACCAAAAATAATTTCGAACTGTAGTCACGGATAAGGCCGTGACTACTATTTTTGTTTTTTAAAAAAAAAAAAAATCCATTTTTTTTGAAAGTTGTTTTTAAAAATTTCTTTTTAATACGTATTTTTACAAATTAAATTTAAAAATGTTATTCTCATTTTTATCCATGTTTTTATACTATTGAATTATTGAAAATATTATTCTAATTTTTTAAATTTAAAATTACATTTTAAAAAGTAAAGACATACAACAAACTTAATAAATATTGTGGCAAACTTTTAAATGTTTTGACAAACAACAAAGTACAAATGTATGATGATTACATGTCCCTTCGTGGGACTCCATTATGAAAAAAATTAGGATTTTCTTCTTCTTCTTCTTCTTCTTCTTCTTCTTCATCATCATCATCAACCAGAAACTCATCTGGGTTCACGGGAGGGTCTTCGGGGTCAGGTCGGGTTCCTCCTCGAGGTGCTCCTCGGTGTCCTCCTCGGGGTGCTCCTCGGGCTCCATGGCTCGGTGTGCCACTACCTCCTCCGGATGACCTCACAAAATCAAAGGACATAGATCCGAAATTCGGGGAGATCATAGGCATGCCACCATATCCGGAGTTGGGGAAAAATCCCATACCGCCCATGTGCGAAACTTGAGGAGTTTGCTCAGGGTGGAA